AGCATAATCAGGAGTGCTAGCATTTCAGGGTTATCACACAGCAGTCAGACGTTTCGTCTAACCAGCTGACGCTTATGGAGAGTACTCGCCCCACGGAGCCTAGTTCTACCGAACTAGGCCCTACCCAGCTCAACGTCAACCACCAGCTCAACGTCAACTTTGCCACCCCCCACCACTTTGACTCAATTTTTCTCCACAACAAGATGTCGCAGCGTTTTGGGACTTACGCGGAGATTGAAGAGCGTATTGAAATTGCTATTGCTGAGTTAGATAGTGGTATCCACGCAAATGTACGCGCAGCAGCAGACTACAATCATGTGCCCTACAGCAGGCTCCAAAAGCGCGTCTCAGGCCGCGCATCAAAAATGGATCGCGCTGCACCAAATCGAAGGCTCAATCAGCAACAGGAGGATGCCCTAAAGGCCTATATTACTCGATGCGACGCGTTATACATGCCTCCTCTCATGCCGCAGCTGATTTCTGCCGCGCAGCGGATCCTTGATCTCGAGCACTCAGATGGCAAGGCACCACCCATAGGCAAAAACTGGATCTCACGATGGCTGGCGCGCAACCCAGACTGCCGCCGCAAGAAACAGAAAAAGTAGGAAATAAAACGCCTAGCAGCTAATACAGTAGAGGTCTACGAGAGGCACTTTGCTGCTCTAAAGCGCGCAATTGATGAGTACGCTATACAGCCTGGAGATCTATACAATATGGACGAGACGGGCATCCGTATGGGCGTTGGAGGTCAGCAATACGTTATAACAATGGCTGGCGACGACGACGCTATACAGTCACCGTCTGATACAAATCGCGAGATTGTTACAGTCGTTGAGACTGTCGCTGCTGACGGCTCAGTTCTGGCACCATTTATTATTCTTAAGGGCAAAGCGCACCTCTCAAAATGGTACACTAACACAAAGCTGCCTAACGACTATATAGTAGGTGTCTCAGAGACAGCGTACAACAACGATGAGCTCTCTCTTGAGTGGATTCGACACTTTGACGCCTGTAGTCGTCGCCGTCAAACAGGCACCTGGAGGCTGTTAATTTTTGATGGATTTGGATCCTATGGCACAAAGGAGCTGATCGATTTTTGTGACGACAACAATATAGTACTTTTCTCGCTCCCATCCTATACCTCTCACGACCTACAGCCTCTTGACGTTGGTGTTTTTTAAGCATACAAGAAGCACTACAGAGGCGTCGTTGAGAGAGCTGCTCGCGAGGGCTGCACCGATTTCAACAAGCTTGAGTTTCTACACGCAATTGATGGCGTTAGAAGATATACATTCAAATCTAGTACTATTCGAAAAGCTTTTGAATTAGCAGGTATCTGGCCATGGGATCCTGAGAGAGTATTGTATAAGCTCGCGCGCCTACAGAGGGTGTCAACGCCTGAGGAGATGAGCTATCTCTTTTAAGCCTCTGAGACGCCTACGCCTACAACTCCTCGCTCCTTTATTGCGTACGCTCGTAAAACGTAAGAGCTCTGTAACTATGCTGAGCATATACTAAGTAATCGGGCTGCGCGACTTGCTAGAGCGTCTGTTATACTAGGTTTGAACTACGATCTCGCGACTCGTGAGCTTGCCAAGACTACAGCTGCTGCCCGCGAGAGGACTCAGCGCTAGGACAACTCACGATTAACGATTCAGAAAGGAGGTGTAGTTACAGCTAGAGGTGCGCGAGAGGCCGTGTCTTAAAAAGCTAAAATCGCTGAGTAAAAGGCTGTACGTAAGGCTGTGAGGGAGACGAGACGGCGCCTCCGAGATGCCACCCAGCAGCCAACACCTGCCTCTGCAGAGGCCTCAACACCAAGTCAACAGGCACCAGTAATGTGTTTTATACACTGGGAGATGCCTCCCACTCAGTAGCTACACTAAATATATGATGTTTTGCGTGTTTTCGCGGCTAATTTACGATACAAATCGCATAGGTTGGCAAAGTTGACGTTGAGCTGGTGGTTGACG